TGTCCGGCAAACAAGCAAAAGAACTAAAGGCAAATCTTCCATGCAACCAAAATTTGGACGGCATTGGTGTCAATCCACGTGCTAATGAGAAACCACCATTCAATGCCACATAAATTTTTGTGCTGATTGAATAGCAAGTTAAAATTACAAAACATTCGCACTAAAAATTATTTGTAGCCTGGGTGTGAGTCTCACTTGTTTTCATGTTTCTGTTTATTAACCTTAAGTTCTTGATTTATAAAATTTCTACTTACCCCTCTTCTTTATTTGTTTTGACAATAACTCCTGAATCTATTTGTTAAACCTAGTACCTCAGATATTTCACTTGGTTGAGTTTCAGAGATACTTCTCTTCGACCTTGTACAAAAGAATGATCTACAAAAGACTGATCCTCTTGTTACTCTCTAGTTAGCTAAAGGAAATTTAAATTTTTTTTTTTTTTTTTTTGGGGGGTGGTTTCACAATGTCAAATGCCTAGAAAATTTTTATTGTACATTCATTTCAATAATCACTTCATGTGTCATGTTTACTGATTTTGTGATAATAAACATTTATTGTGGCATTTATATTAAGTCCCACAAATGTTAAACAGTTATTTGGTTTCTGATCACCTCGCTTCTCTGTTCTAGATTTGTTATCGCCCTTCATGAGAAATGTTTTTGTCACTGGTTGCTCTATTCACATCATGCACCAGCATATAAGTCAATGGATGCTTTTTGCTGACTTGAAACGGCGGAAGTCTTTTACTACGGTAGAGATTGTAGTGCATGTAAAAGGAAGATGCAGCTTTTCTTCTCAGCCCTGGTCTTTGATGTGATAAGTTCATAACAAGTACTTTGATGATAAAGAAATATGAAAATCAATCTTATACATGCAGGGTTGGAAGGCATTATTTACCATCCTCTTCTGCCTTATCTGGCAAAGACGTAACAAGCTGATAGATGCAGAAGCTGGCGGGGATATGTCTACGGTGTTGGCAGGAGCAAATGCTATAATGGGTTGTTCAGCATTGACGGCAAAGCGACTCAGTGAAGCCAACACAGGAGGAGCAACAACTGGAGTGATCAATCGAGATGGCTTAGAGATGCATGGGAAACCGGTAGTCAGTGTGGATGGAGCCCACTCTCATGCTCAGAACAGGACAGCCTGTGGTGGAGTCTTGCTCGCCGATGACAATGCTATCATGGAAGGATCCTCATTCAGATTTGAAGGAGGCAACCATCAAGCAGCGGAACCCTGGGGATGTTTAATGGGGCTAAAACGTGCTTGGGAAGAACGCGTGAGGCTGATTGGATGAGAACAGATTCAGTGGAAGCAGTAAGTCCGATAAAAAGCGAAGTGCCCGAGTCGCATGCAGATTGGAATATCATCCGAGAAATTCAAAGCGTGCTGCAGCGAGAATGGTCAGTTTCAGATAATTGCTAGAGATGATAACCAGGGGGGCGGCTGCTCTTGCCAAGCGCGTTAAATGGGTCCTTTGACTTGCAGTGGTTTGGACCTGCCCGTGAGAGAGCTCCTTGACAATTGAGAAATCACCAATTTTTTTTGCTTTGCTAGTTTTGTTTTACGATATATCAAAAACAAAATCATTCTTATACATTGATAATTTTTTTGTCCATTTTATATGCTGATGATCATCCATTATTGAAATTGTTTTATCAGGTTTATGTTAATTTGATGCTCATTCAGATAAACACCTGTAGTCTATTCAAGCATAATCATTGAGTTGCTCTTCTAATATTTAACTTTTGCTTATTAATAGGACTATCCGCTTTCTTATCGTGATCCCAACTCGCTGAAGACACTTGAATTTAATGTTTTGGACGGAATTGGAAGTTGTGATGATACTCTTAACAAAAGCTGTTATAGTGACCGTTGGTGATGTAGTTGTGATTATGTGAATCAATTTTCTGATGACAAAGGTTGTAGAAGGTATGCATATGACATTATTTATGCTTTTAGAGCTTGCTTATTTTATGAGATTGGTTTTGTTAATCTGTCTTTGCTTCTGGTTATACTATATCTTGTCCTTGATATAAGAACGGGTTAAAAATTCAATTTGGTTTTAAATATAAGATTTCAATTCATTTTATCTCTAATGTTTTTCATTTTACTTTTAAGTAATCTCTACTAGTGATTGCACATGTTAAAGAGTTTTTTTCAAGGGGTATTTCCACCGCACATGATTAACAATGGTATTTTGATAAAAACAATATCAATTTATTACAAATAACTAGTATAAGTAATTTTCTGAATATCTGCAAATTAGTTATCTAGTTCTTATATTAAAAACCGGAGGTGGTGTATGTTTTCAATCTTGTTATGGGGACATGGAGTGAAGGCCTCTTAACTAAATGAAAAGCCACACTAACTTGATAAATGCATGAGTCAGTCAGATAATAGAGTCTGAGCATTTATCGTGTGGTGAGCTAGTTTGTTTTCTCTCCCTTTCAATTAAGTAATGCCTGCCCTTTTATAATTCTCCAATGATAAATAAAACTTATATTTCTTCATGATGAATAGAACTTGTAGTCAATGCTTAGGTTGTATTACAAACTGTCCGAGATATGTGGTTTTTTCTATCCGCAAAAGTTTGAATGTTTGATCTTATTTAAGGGATAAGTTTTTTTCTACACAATCCAATCTTTGTTGGAAGTGTCGGGGTTAGAAATAATGAGATTTGGATTTCTTTCTCTCTCTCTCTCTCTTTTCCACTTGGATCATTTAGGTCCATTATGGACAGTTTAGATTAATATTACTAAGATGTCAAAATTTAGATAGATAAATAAATTTGGATGATCTAAATTTAATATAAACGATCCCAATTCAGAATAGGAGAGGAGGATAAAATTTCCTTGAGACAATATTTAGATCAAGTTTCTTATATCTATTATGTTAAGTTCTCCAATCACATATAGCCATGTGTCCTATGTTTAAAATATTATCAGTAAACTATAAACTTAGATAAAAAAAAAAAAAGAATATATAGTCATGTGTGATTAAAGAACTTGACATAATAGATATAAAAAATTAAATATTTTGTTAATTGTTGGCTCTTCATTACCGTTGTAGTTCTGATTTCCTTGTTTTCTATTTATAAAGTTTGAAGGAATCTAAAGAATTTGTAGATGCAATGGATGAAATAAACAGAGTTGTAACGTTGTCCATGGTGGATGTCGAAGCTGTTAGGATAACTTGTTTATAATAGAGTTCTTCATGACATAGGATTTCCAAACTATCTTTGCTTTATCTTTCTACGTTTTTTTTTTGTGCGACCATTTGATATTCCGTACTATTGGGTCATATTGACAGATTCAAGGATTGTTAGGTCTCAATTCCCACATTTGTCCCCTTTGGAAATTATATAGTTGTGGCAGCTCATGGGATTTCGTTTGTTTGTTAAGTCATTTAGAAATTGCAGCTTCCTAGTCATGTTTTGTTTAATATACTATCTTCATGTCTTTTTCAAAAAGAAAATTATTAGGACAGATACAAAGTTTGAGTTTACAATTGGAATTGAACATGCGACATCTTATTTATAAGAGAGTGTTTTTGCCGTTTAAGGTTATTGCCTGTTATTCTTACTTTGACTTGAAGGCAAACGAATATGCAATTACGTTGGTGTTTCTATCCAATTTTGCAGGCATAAAATGTTATGGCTTAAACATGATTTGTTTTATTGTTTAGTAATGCTTTTACTTTTTTTTCGTTAAATATTATGTTTTCAAAAGCTTAACAAGTTTTTTTGGTGACAAAAGCTTAATAAGTTTTATATATGAAAGTTGTAATTATAAAATGTTCATCCACTTTTACCCATTCCAAACAAATTGATAGACTATTTTATTTTAATTACAACGTGCTTGTATGTCCATTTAATATCGACATGGTGGATGGAAAAGAACTTTGAACAGTTAAAAATTGACCCAAAATGAATTGTGAAACAACTGAAATATGAAATTTTCATTACAAAAGTGTTCCCACGTGAAGTTAGACAAGCGTGCTTAACTGCAACTTGGCTTCTTACATGTCATAGACCAGCATATGCTATACATACACACCTATATAAATAAATATATATATATTTATGATTTATTTATAGACACACACAGAAGAAAAGTTATGGGACTGATTTTTTATTATATACATATTTCTTGCACTAGAAATAATGATTAATTAATGAATCATTATTCTTTCCCATCCTTATTATAAATACTTTTTTTAGATTTTATTTCTTTTTTGGCGTAAACTCAGAGTCTCCCCAAGTCCTTTAAACGGAAGACTAATCTCTCTGTTTTTTTTTTTTTCAGATTTTATAATATAACATTTTTAAAGCATTATTTTTTTTTACGCCTATTATCCCTAACTAACTATAAAATTTTCTAATTAATGAATCAAATTTTTCTAATGATAATTTTAATTTAGGATAATTTTGAGATTTTACTGGCAATAAATAACTTTAACTAACTTTTTCAATTTATTTAAAGTTATTAATTACAAATTATAAAAAGGACTTGAGGGCATAATTGATTACACATTTTTGCGTGCCACGCTTGGTGGGAGAACTTATCAGTTTAATTCTTTTATCAAAAATTTTGTCCAAAGTAATCAAAATACCATTGACACATGAGTTTGAGCCAGTGTGAATTGCATAGTCTCAAAACTATGAGTCCCATATTATTTATTAATAATAATAATTAAAGTAGACATGAAAAAGGCTTTTAATAGACTTGATTGGAGATTTGTTCAAGATGCTTTAGCCTGTCTGGGTATCGAAAACCATTTCATTCATCTTATCATGGCTTGTGTGCAAAATGTATGTTTTTTTTTTTAAAATACTCTTTTTAATTGTTCATGTTTAAAATTAAAAAAAAATAAAAAAAATTGTGTAATTTAAATAAAGTTTTCGATTAGTTCCTTCATGTGGGAGTGGACGGGTTTTTTTTTTTTTGTTAAGCATAAATTCTTTTAGTAGCTCGAATCTTGATTCATTATATCGTGAGAAACTAGTCCTTCCACTAAATTTAACCCTCATTAATAGTGAACAGAGTATTTTAATTTGTTTCTTTCTCCTTGTATCTTCACGGACCTATATATATTTCCAGTTTCCACGCCATCAACTTGGCTTCAAATTGACAAACACGGAGAACAGAAGCCGCTTTATGATATGATATATATATATATATATAGAGAGAGAGAGAGAGAGGTGCTTAATTTATGAAAAAAGTTCTTACCTAGCTAATAACCTTTGTTTTCCTATTAAACAAAACAATAGGGCACCCGATTAATCTGATTTGTAGTTGGATCAACCTTCAATTAGGAAGAAGCTTTTCTGGTCATAAGATTCCAACTTGATACTTTATTCAATCCGCGTTCCATCTAATTTTGTTTTTACTTAATTTGTCCTGATTTGATTTGGGTTTTCATTTCATCTTTATATATATATATATATATATATATGTCATGTTTCAAATTTTGAAGTATAATGATCACTTTTTTCATAATATAATACTATTGTTATACAAAGGGTATTAAATAAATGTAGTAAAGGTTTAAAATTGTGTGATATTAAATGGGGGAAAAACTGAAAAAAAAAAGTAACGGAAAATCATAATCGGTAAAAGCTATACTGTTTATGTGAATCCTTCTAACGAGAAAGAATCACTTTGATGATAAATTGGTAAGACTAAAGTTGATCCTAAGTCACTTGATAAAGGATATAATATAATTAGCTTGAAAGTTAATATGAAAAATTTCTATTAAATCCAACTAAAATAATAAGATCTAAATTCAGGCCTATACCTTAATTACAGAGAGGTATTTTAATTTTTGAACAACATTAAAAAAATCCTCTATTAGGTTTACCTGTTTGTTTAGGAGGGGAGCGTGTTAAAAATGTGAGTCTGAATTTAATTTTGTTATTTCAGTGAAATTTAATTGACCATTTTTTCAAAAATAATTCTAACATGATACATAGTTTGGACCAAAAATTCTCACATGATACTCCTTTGGTCCTATTCATAGAACAGATCGAAAATTTTTTTTTTGATTTTATTTATAGAATACTAAGAGAAAATTTTTACATAGACGTACAATTTTATCTTTTATTTGTTATTATATTAATTTTGTTTACTTGAGGTATAATGTATATCAAATGGAGATAAAGTTACAAATTCATTAAATTTTAAATAAGAGTTAATAAAGTTTAAGTTTTTTTTTTGCCCGTGTGAAATTTAAGATTAAAACTAGACGAGTACATTGATTTTATTTTTTTTCCTTCTTTAATAAGCGCTTTTCTTGTAAGGACAAGTAAATAGGGACGACCAACAATCATTAATTATCATTCAATCCAATCATTAAATTTTATTTATTTTGTGCAGGACAACATAAGAACTCATTTTCAAAGTCCACATAGATTTTTTTTATCATTTCCGCAATCTTATCCTGTACGTGTAAGACGATATGGGGATGTTGACTATTCTCATGAGAATATGACAGCTTAAATTTGCTGTAACTTCGAAATGAAGGGGACTCAATTTTTTTAAAAAATGTCCAAGAATTAATTAATTGATTAATTTTTTTTTAAAATTCTTTCGTTTTTGGACGGCAAAAATAATTCAATTAATAGTTAATAGGATAGTAACTTATCATTTTCATTTGAACAAAATATAAGTTTACAGTGAACAAAAAAGAAAGAAAGAAAAGGTGAACTCCGCTAGAATTTTGTTTTGTTATAATATGATTGGTTATATTTTATAATGCCACTAATCACATCATTATTAGAATTTGGTAGATAAAAAGAAAAGTACATTTGTAACAATGTTCTTTTCTTTAATTTTTTTGAAATTAATTAAACTAGTAGACATAATTATATAATTATGTCAATATTCTATATGAGCATAGCCCTAATTTATTGCAATGATGTATCATATATAAATTTATATGTGAAAGTTCTCTAATATAATGCATCATAATAATAGTATATAACCTAATCAAGATTTTCAAAAGAAATAAGATATTATAGGTCGTATAATGTATAATATATCATGAACACTTATCAAAATTTGTATCATCCAAATAGAGGTGTGTATAATTCATCAAAAGTACAAAAAAAAAAAATCATCATAAGAAGCATCGAAATAATATATATCGATATATATTTTATAAGTCCTGAATTTTTCTTAAAATTTATGCAAATGAAAGAAAACATGGTCATTGTGTTTAAAATATGTTAAATTTAATGTCAAACAATGTCATGAGGTTTAAATTATTAAAGTCAAAAAATGTCATCGTCATTGGGATGAGTCATTTGATGAAAAATTTTCTATTCCCGTTTACCATAATTTTTCTTTATTGCTCATTTGTTTTACTTAGAAATTTACGTTGTTTAAGGGATAAATAGTGTTAAATACCCTTTTCGTTATAAATTTGCATGATGTAAATGCCAAATATTCATAGTTTGACTAATAGATTATTTATATTATTTGAATGATAAATTTAAAAACCTTTTTAATAATTAATTTATGAATTTGGTCTTCATTATGGTTTTTTTCCTCAACTTTACCCTTTTTAAATGCATGAGAAATGAACCATGCTAATAAAAGCATGTAAATAATTTTAGTATACTCTTACGAGCATTTTATGAAAAAAGACATTCATTATTCTTTAAAAAAATCCACAAAATGCCTTATATAGTCAAATATGAGACTTTCCAAAACATGCCCTATAATTGAAACTGAGGTGCAATATTTTTATCTTAAGGAAACTTCGTACAAGATTTTTTTATTTAAAATGTTTTTGACCAATAAGGTCTGGTATAGTTAGAAGACATGTCTTTTGAGTATATGCTATATATGAGGGGTTGGATCAAGTCTTTGATGTCATGCTAAAGACTGGGTCATTTATCTTGAACAATTTTTTTTATGTTCTTTCAATTTGTATACGTTTCTGTGGCTGGTGGGCAAGAAGTGAGATTTTTTTAATGAAGTCAAACCCACCCCAATTCGTCCCCCAAAGAAATTTGAATATGAAATGGAAGCCATTGACTTGGTAAATTGTATTAGTTAGCCTCCTTGAAATCACAAGCGTGAAGGGTCTATTATTGATCAAGTTCTGTTGTACGCCAAAGCTTAGTTCAAATCTCATGATATTCATTTCCCTCTGAAGCTTTTGGTCTTGTTTCAAGAACTATTGAGTTATGGACCAAAGAAACTCTGTGCTTCTTCTGCTATTGCTTCTGTTCCAAGTTCTGTTTGTAGCAACACAGAACTCCAATCCAGACTGTAAGTTCATTTCAACTTCCTAAGTATTTGAAATATATTCCAGGCTGTTAGTTTTC